TAGTAACATTTATTAACATTTTATTTTAACATTTTATATAAACCGCGTGGAGCGGTTTATCTAGCGTCGTATAAGGAACCGCTCGACCAATCAGATTGCTGGAAACTCTTTGCTCAGCTCTGAAATTATACTAAATACATATATATATGTATATCTATAAATATAACAAACTGGTTCAAGACTTCAGAGGTAGTTTATCGTTTTATTACGACAGCTCTGTTTCGTATGGTCGAAAATGACCACACTCATCAGGTAATTTCAACGACTGACCGTTAACTTACAATGACTGGCTATAAAAGCTGGAATACGGTTACTGGGAGATATGAAAACAACGCTACTTTTCCATATAAGTGATGTGACTGGTATGTATAATTTCGGAGATTGTTACTTTATTATGAAGTTCTTAAGGAGGTATCTGTTTCTATGGGGGCATGAACTTACTAGCTCATTTCGTTTGTTTAGACTGCAAAGTTCCTTTTTACATATGGTCGTGAATTTTTCAAAAAGACATAAATTACATTTCTTAGTAATGTTGTTGTACGGTTTGCATTGTTTGATGATTTTCCACGTTAGCTTGAAAGGCTTGTTATTGTCCTTTAGTGTCCATATGTGTTTAGATAATTCAGTCTCGTGTCTCTTTTTTTTTTTGGTGTCGGAAGGAAGCTGTGTGGTTTCTGTACCGTTCTATAACGTGCAATGACTTGTCAACCCCAAACCGTTATGTCACCCTAAGATACTAACTTTTTCAAATTGTTATGATCTATAGCCACTTGCTTAGGAGTTAACAACTGTACAAGCCCTGCACACGGCAATTGTAAAACGACAGACGTTTGCCAGTGTAATTCTGGTTACATAGGTCAGTTACCCGGAGCCTTATATGGTTGTTTTACTGTCGTTGTTGTTATCGTGTGATAAGTGATAAGAACGGAGAAATAGATCGGCGGTAACCTGTGCTATTGTAGGTGGTCAGTGGAGGTGAAGGAAAGAGCGAGCTAAATAAAATTATTGAGGGTATGGGAGGGAGTAGAGAGTGGGAGAGTCCTTTTATCCTCTCTTCGGCCCTCCCCCCTCTCTTTTTTTGTTGTCATTTCGTTGTTTGTTTTCTTTTTTTTTTCTATTCCAATCCTTCTGAAAAAAAATCTGAGCGCCTTGAACAAGATAAATCAACGGCAAACACTCCATTAAGCTACATTTGGCGAGTGTAGCTGTACAATTTACAGCGAAATTTATTAGAAAAATCATAATCCAGTAAATTAAGGAATAGACTGGTTGCGGCCTTTGTTAAGAATTAGCTACAAAGAGTAAAGATAGAAGGAGGTAGTCAAATTTATTAAATACATTGTGCCTTATCCCCTTCTCTACTGCGCTATATGCTTTTGAAGACACGCTCAGTTTGTCATGCCTCCCACAATAATATTTGTTCTAAAAATGGGCACATCTTTCGTATCCTCAGGTGCTGACTGCAGTATTGTTCCAACTTGCTACAACGTATCAGATTGTACTGGAAATGGAATCTGTGTGGATTTCGATGTTTGCAAATGCAACATAGGATGGACTGGAAACAATTGTACTCAATACTCTTGCGAACAATTGGATTACTGCTCTGGTAATGTATATACGGGAAGTCATATACATAGTTTACGGAAAGATGCGATACCCATCTTTCCCTTCTTCCCTCATTCCTTCTTTCCGTATGTCCTTCATCGCTCGCCTCCTTAATTGAAACTGTTTCCCTGGTCTGATTCTGGTACCAATGTTTTCCTATTTTTTTTCTCCGCGCTGTTGTTAAGAACACGGTAGCTGCAAGACATTTGACAAATGCACCTGCGATTATGGCTGGACCGGAGTAAGCTGCGCCCTTCCTGACTGTGAAGCTGTCAATCAATGTTCCAAAAAGGGAGAGTGCATCTCTAGCGACAAGTGTCGCTGTTTTCCAGGATTTGTCGGAGCGAATTGCAGTCAGTTGGCGGACTGCAGTCATCTTGCAAACTGCAGCGGCCAAGGCGTTTGCGTTTCCACGGAGTTGCTGAATGTGTCGTGCAGTTGCTACCTTGGATTCACTGGCGATAACTGCAGTCAGCCTACTTGCACAACCATGAACAACTGTTCTTCCCATGGCGCATGCGTGGAAGCTGAGCTTTGCAAATGTGACCCGGGATACAATGGAACTGACTGCAGTAACTTTTCTTGTGAGGCTGTCAACTATTGCTCAGGTAACTACATCGTTTGAGTGCGCGTTTGTAACTTCAGTAAACATCTTTACATACATACATACATACATACATTTATTTGGTAAAGCAGGTTAAGTTACATACAATGGCAGCAAAAAGCTGATGTGGACCTGCCTAAAATAAATTAAATAAAAGTAGGATGATGTAAAATGTATAAATAAAAACAAGTTAAAAATATACATAGTTATCGTGTTTATTAGCTATCATAGAAGCTCTAACTGAGAAGTTATTAATGTCCTTGGAAAATCTACGCAAAATTTGCTTGAATTTGTCTTTACTCATCGACTCTTTTATATTAATTAATCTATTAAGAAATGTCCAAATTGTTGGTCCTCTATATTAAATAGATTAGTATCCACTGGTTGTGAAAGTTCTTGCTTAAAGCACAGGACTTTGTGTTTCAGCTGTTCAACAGTTTTTCAATGAATAATACCTCGTGGGAAAATTGCATGAACTTTTCTAGAAAGTTAAGTAGTGCTACCTCAGAATCTTTTTTTATTGCCTTGACTCTTATCCACGATAACTTTACAGAACAAACTGTGTTTAACGGTGCTCTTATTTGTGCTACAGGCCATGGAAAATGTATTGGCTATGACCTCTGCCTCTGCAATACCTCCTGGTCGGGTCGAGCATGCAGCGTTCCTGATTGCAGTGCTGTGAAAAATTGCTCTGGCCAAGGAGACTGTATCTTTCCTGGCACTTGTTATTGTTATCCAGCGTTTGATGGAGAATACTGTGACCTTGAGGCAAAAACAAACATCAATCCGCCAGAATTTAACCAAACATTTTATAGTGCTTCCATTCTGGAAAATTCTCCTGTAGGAACGATGATTTTACAAGTAAAAGCCAATGATACAGACTTAGGAAGAAACGGTCAAATATTTTACGCCATACGTGGTGATGATAAAGTAGAAAGTATACTCACTGTTGATGGACAATCTGGAAACATTTACAGCGCACAGACACTAGACTTTGAGACAAATGCGGTAAAATCTTTCAACGTGACCGTGGTTGCATCAGATAACGGATTTCCACAGAAATCTGGAATCGCCATGGTACAGATAACACTACTGGATGCAAATGACAATTGTCCAACTATCGTCGAGCCATCAGGAGATCTAAAACTAGAATACGCTACTCTTACTCCCGGAGAAACCGTGACCAAAGTTTCTGCCGTTGACTTGGACAGTGGAGTAAACAGCGACATAACTTACAGCCTATCCAAAAATGACGTGTTCTCTATTCATCCTAAAACTGGCGTGGTTACCGTGGTGTCCGGCTTGACGAAGAAAATTTATGATCTCACAGTTAGTGCCAGTGACAATGGGGACGTTTCTTGCATAACAGACATCAGTTTGACAATTGAAATCGAGAACATTCCCACAACAACGCCCTCGTCCATATTTACCGATCCCTCCACGAACAGGAGACCTGAATCCTCACCTACCAATAGAGCCTCTAAGTTCCCTTCCCATAGTGCGTCTACGTTCCCTACACATAGTGTGTCTCAGTTGCCTGACACTACAGCATCGACAAGTGAGTTTGTTTTCATTTGTAAATGACGATAATAGGATTAAAGTGCTTTTGTTGGATGACAGTCGAAGAGTGGAGATGTTTTTGTTATCGTTGCTGTTGTCATTGTTTTTATTTATACCAAATAAAATTATCGTCGAAATGGAGAAAACACAAAATGATATCCTCAGATATTCAAGGAACAAAATACTGAACAATGATGACAGGCAGAGATGGAACGAGATGAACAAGGACGACAAACTCAGGATAAATTATTCGAGATTGCACAAAGCAAGACTACAATTGACGATTTTACTAAATAATTGAAATGAAAGCTTAAGGTCAACTAGTTTGTTTATTTTGCAGATGAATCAGTAGTGCAGCGATTAGTTAGAAATGTCGTGGAGCGATTTATCTTAACATAATTCACATCTCATACAATCTGGGTAACCAATCTCGGGCAATCTGAGTAACCATGCCTCTCGTAAAGACAATAAACTTCATTGATTGATTGATTGAAGAATATAAACAAGTTTCTTAACCCGAGAATTCTGTTCGAAAGTGTTTGATACTATAGGATCAATCGTTTAGAAAAATTTAATACCAACTCAATTCATGACAATCAATATAACCTATATTTTAATGATATTTGGTGCATACCAATCTGAACCCTCTTAAAGGAGAGATAAAAAAAAAATGAGAAATTTAACTCAGTACCGTCCATAAACCTTCGGGTAAACAGTAACTCAGCATTTCTGTCGAAGGGCTATGTTCGAAACGCCAGCTTTGAAACTCTTTGCGGTAGCCAATTTACACTATACTGTCAACTCAGTTGATAAAACAGAATTGCCTTGTTACCCCCACCGATGCAGCACCACAGTTTCTTTCTTTCGACATTTAAGAAAGGTGCATCTCCTAAATTTTTCACAAAAGTACATCCATCAGATTTGTTCGGTTGAGTTCAAGCGTTGAAGATATCTTCACTCTTTCTTGTTTGACACAGGAGTGACTTCTTCACATTTACCAACGGAGGCAGGTGCAGTTCCTCAGAAAGGTCCCAATTATGTTATTATTGGTGGATCTGCTGCTGGAGGAGTACTGCTGCTATTGCTCGCAGCACTGGTGATCAGAAAATGTCTTTGCAAAGCCAGGACATCTTCAGAAAAACAACCGAGAGGGAAACTGAATGCTGGTGTTGATATTGAGCTGTCCACAGTAGCTAAGAGTATTTGAGAACATATTGTATCTGATAACAGGTTGAAAAAGAAAGTTTTCCAAGAAAGAAATATCCTGAGATGCCTGTGATCGCATAATTTAGCCAAAAATTCGGTGGTAGAGAGGAGCTTCTACAACTCAACAAAGGAGTTGATAGCAGTATGTTCTTAGAATTATCATTGCAATGCCAGTGCCAGAATTAGATTACTCTTATGTTAAGACTTCTATAGTGGAAGCAGCAGTGGCAGTAACGGTGGCAGTAACGGTAGCAGTTGTAGCAGCAATGGCAGAAGCAGAAAGCCATAGTAGTAGGGTTAACAGTGGCAGTTGTCCAACATAAACATAAACATACATGTATCAGTCACGGATAATAACTGGTTTCAAATCTCTAGTTGCCAATATAAGTAAAAAGGGAGAGGGCCATGAAACAATATGCAAAGGAAAGAAAAGGGTGTTTTCCTAATAAAAAAATGATAATTTCAATTACAGTGATTAAGCATAAATGTATTTTTGTAGATGCATGATTTACTTGTGATATAGGTTTGAAAAAAAGAATAATTGGTTGCCAATTTTGTAATGTAATGTAAAAGGTCACAGTTATGTGTATACCCAGTTATAAGAAAATTGTCATGGGGAGTAGATGAAAGTAATTTTCCAGAACATCCCTCCTCATCAGAACCCCTCATTACTGATGTGACCTGATTTCTAAAATAAAAAAGGAGAGAAAAGATGAGAAAAAATAAAAAGGTAGCTAGCGTTAGGCGAATTCATAGGAAAGAATAAACCGCTCTGAGAACCGAGCCGTGACATTGAAAATGAGGATGTGACTGATCTCTTTTAAGCAATAACTGATGAACCAATGATGAGCTTCCAAAGAAATTGGGGTAACCAATTTCAATTTAGGTCCTTTAACCAGCTACTGTTCTACGTGCCTCGCTGAGAGAGGAGTGAGGACTGGACTCTACAGGGCGCGCCGGAAAAACTGAGCCTGAGAACTTGTCCACTCGATTTAAACAGCGAACAAACATGTTTTATGCCTCAAACACGGCCCGTGCTATTTGCACCGTTGGTGACATAAACTAATACATTACTAACGGAAAGAGAATTTTCTGTTGGTAATGAAGAGCATGTGATTCAGTGTTACAGTTAAGAAGCAAATCCTCAAGAACGATTATCTCTACGGCGTCCAAATAAGAATTCCCTTAAAGCGAAGTTAACTATACAGAATTGAGATTGCAGATAACATCTTTAAAATGACTAATGCCAATTAACTACTTTCTAATGCCCGGAAGAGATTAAAATAAATGAATGTCTTTTGTCCATTAGATAATGACCTTCGGTTCTTGGTTGTTGTTGTTAATTTTGCTATTGTTTTGATCGTCATACTTAAAACAAACTTTCTATCAGTAATCCTCTGGGAGCTTGTCCGCCCATTTGTAAAAGACGACAGTTCTCTTAGCTGGCTACAGGTTCACGAAATAGAAATGAGTGGCGTGAAATCCTTAGAGAGTACTATATTGTTACTATTTTAAAGTTCAACGGTAAGGAAAATGACGCAAATAAACAAACCCAAAACGAAGTCAGTTTAATAAGGAAAGTCATCTTTCCCAGACGAGAGAAACTTGTGTAGAAGTTAATTCTAGAGTAAGTTCTTAAAACTGTAGAGAACGAGATGTACACTTCAAATTTACAAGCTATAACGCGAACTCTGAATTGCATGGTAAAGGATAACGGCATTGGGAAGGCCTGGGGCGTTTAGACGCCCCTACCATCAGAACTGTGAGTTGAGTTTTTTTACCACTTGTTAGACATTTAAACTCGTCATACGAAAGGATCACATATTACTACACAATATAAAGTGTCTAACCTTAACTTGTCTTGCAACATATCTTAGCTTTTTTAAGGTTGTAATGTGCAAATATTCCTGTGTGTTCTGGACAAAAATTGGACTCCTCTATCAATAATTTCTTAGTATTTTGTTGTGAAATAACACGTTATTGTTATAATAGTTAACTATGATAATATTAACTTTTTAGCAGTTAGTGCGAATGACACTAACATCACTAGACCGCTGACCCTTTGTCCATATACAGCAGCATTACACTTATCATCTTTACAGCACGTGATAGAGCACTCGACTGAGTAGCCCTGCCTCTTCTTATCCTGACATGTAGGGACCTGGGTTCCATCTTTCTCGTAAGTCGTACATTCGTTCCCATTTGCGCAGGTTTTGAAGAATATGTGATCTGTCTTAGAATTTTTTGAGAATGAGATCTTCCCTTTTATGCACATATCATCACCCCGTTCACAAGTTCTTAAAATTGTTTTGTTGAAGCAGTCTTTCCAGGACGCATGCGTGAAGCATTCGTAACATTCATTCGGGAAGGAACCTGGATTTGAGATTCAAAAGCATAGTGTGTTATGTTAGGTCTTTTCTCAAATATCTGGTAACGCTTTTAGATAATTAATGTTTCAGATAGATAGATAGATATCGATAGATAAATTATTCACCTTAAAAAACTTGCAGCCAAGAGCTGAATTGCGATAAGGTTTACAAATGCAAAATTTCTAACTTACTAAATTACAACTAATTAGTTAATTTACTAATTAAAAAATATTTCAGAATGACAAATTCAAAAGCATGCGTCGAAATTCCTATGTAAAATAAGAAACAAAATAATATCTGATTATCATCTACAATAAACGTAACTTAAAAGAAAACTATTCTTGCACCTTTTAGTTTTACACCTCGGACGAATAATTGTTCTTTGTTTTCTCAGATAGTAGCCAGGTTGGTATTTGCTAGGAAGTAGTTTATGAAGACTGTGAGATTGATTTGCACATATTTCATTGAACAACTTTGCCGCGATTGCCTCTCTTCTATCATACAGCGTTAAAAGTCCAGATAGTTCCAGAGCCTTAGCATACGAAAGCTCGGGGTAAATAATGTTCATAGCCGCGTTTTTGAAGTCTTTCTAGGTCTTTGCTTAAATAACTTGGTAAAGCGCGATGGAAAACTGGGCTGCCGTACTCCAGAATAGACCGAATACATGTAATGTAAAATAGAAGAAACTCTTTTGTGGCAACGTGCAATCTCTTAAGCTGTCTTAGAAAATATAGTCTTGTAGAAACCTTCCTAACTAGCTCTGACACATGGGCATTCCATTTTAAATCACTACTTATATTGAGTCCTAATAATTTCACACTGCTCACAGTCTCAAGGGTCTGATAGTTAACCCAGATAGGGTCAAATTGTGGTTCGCTTTTTGCGAAGGTAATCGTAAGCTCTTTACATTTTCTTTCGTTTAACTGAAAACCTTCATCCCTTGCTTGTATTGCGAGATCGTCTACCATTTGCTGAATACAGCTCTTTTGGCCTTCAGCTATCACCTCTGAGATTGTGGTATCATCCACAAATTTCCACATACCTGCTTCTCCTGCACTCAGATCATTAATCATTATCAAAAATAACCATGGCCCAAGCTTGGTCCCCTGTGGGACGCCAGCTGGAATGTAACGCCCTTCGGAGAAGCAATCCTGGGCCAGTTTATCTCTCTGTCTTCTATCTGATAAAAAGTCAACAATCCCGCATGATATGGGGTTCGGAATATCGTAATCTAAGAGTTTACGCACTAAGATATTGTGATCAATAAGATCGAACGCCTTACGGAAATCAAATAGAACCACCCTAAACACGGCCGAATTCCCATCGCAGCTGACGTGCCAGTTATGGATCATGCTAACAAGTGCGTGCGTAGTGCATGATTTAGGTATTATCCCATATTTTTTTTTGTCGATTTTCTTTAACACGGCAGGTATCACAAACTCATGAACAATATACGCCGAATGCAAATATGGCGTCCAAATTGAATTGCCATTGTTCTGGACTCACTAGCCTCGTCTTCACGCAGAAACACAAAAGGGTCATTACGTGTGTGAGAGGCTAGTGAGTCCAGAACAATGGCAACTCAAATTGGACGCCATATTTGCATTCGGTGTATAACCTTCTGCAATCTTGGAAAGGATAGGCGTAAGGGAGATAGGACGAAGGTGCTTGTTGATGTCTTGAATAGGTCTTTGCTTGGGGACAGGGACGATATCTGCCTCTTTCCAATATATTTGTATGAAGAAAAATGTTACGGTCGTTACGATGTTTAGACATATTTTTTTGTTTTTTCAGTTGACGGCTGAGTCCTTGCCATTTTTCTTAAAACATTCTAAACCTAAGCCAGAAATAGTTTAGTTCAGCGGTTACGCACTTGAGCAATAAAGTCCTGATAGCATCAGGTTTTCACAGTGTCGGAAGACAAACAAACAAACGAACAAACAAAAGATAATTTTTCATTGTGTGATAGTGAATCAGTTTAGGAATGAAATGAAGTAAAGAGAACTTCTAAAAAAATTCTCGAAAGGATTTTTAAAATATTAATTAAATGATTAGGACATAAATTAAGGATTAGAAAAGTAATTTTTCAGATCTTTATCATTTTTCGTTGCCATTATTGATGGCCAAACCTCGTGACATCAAGGCTTGTCTCGGCAACATCGAAGTTACCTCCATTTCTGTACATAAACAAAGTTCAATGCCACAACGAAAATAGCGAGTGGTCTTCTTTGTTTTTACAATCCGGCTTTTGAGGTTGTACCGCAAATTAAACAATATCTTTATATCCGTCTGGCTTCCACATGGAAAGAAGCTGCGGGATAGAAATTGTTTCCTTAATTATGGAGCTCCGCGGTGCTTTAGTCTAAACTATCTTCTTGCTGAATTATTACTTATTTTTACTGAGCCAAAAAACTTTTCGCCGAACATACTAATATCTCGAGGTAAAATAAGTTTTCTTCAAACTTGTATCTTTACAGACTTCGATAGTCATGTGAATTCATTTCAGCTAATCTATTTCAATATTAATTGACAACAAGGTCCAGCAAAACACTTCACTTTACCAATCAAAGCTTTATAAAGATAGATAACCAGCATAGGCGAATTTGGAAAGGAAGATGTTTCCCTAACGTGTACAAACTTAATTCTTTTGGAATGCTGAAAGTTATAGCGAGAACGGAATTGATTTATTTTAAAAAATAAAATTGTTAGGAGAAGGAAATAGTTGTTTTCTCTCACTTTAAACCGTTTCCGGATAATGCTGAAATGCAGCTGTCATTATTATGAATCTTGGGTGCGTAGTTTTTACCATAAACTAACTTTGTTCAAAACACTTACTTTGAAACGAATCCGCAAAAATCTTCATCAACTGCCGGCTAATCTTGACTTAGAAGGAACCCTTCCCCATAAGGATTTCTTTTCACAAGCTAGAACTAATTAAAAACGTTAGCTACTGTAGGCTCACTAAAAATGCATTATCAACTCACCCTGTGCAACTAACGGGTAAAGACATACACCAAGCAACAGCATGTACAAAATAATTAAGCTCATCTCTGGGTTTCCTCACTTATACTCGTTTCTTCTAATTCTAAAGCTCAGAGCGCCTCCAAGTAATTGCAAACGTAGGAGAACTCTTGAATACTTCTGACGATCTAAGTTAATTTTATATCCACCTATGGGGTCCTTTTTAAATTTGCGCTGTTGAAGTTGAACAGATTAAAAGTTCCCCAGGTGCTTATTCAGATATCAATAGCACAAACTTAGTTGAAGAGCCAGACTTATCATCATTTGATTTTCCATGGGACCGCTACACCCTGATGATTCTAAATTACAATAATGACAACAAGCACGTTAGGCGATTCACTTTTGAGCCAGAATCACTAAATGCGTAAGTGTCCTTAACAATACGTTCTTTCGATGAGAGCGCGAAGCC